TCAGCTGTTTTGATGATGCATAATTTCTGCCCCCTAACTTCCTCTCCATCAGCAGTACATTGGAAATTAAATGAAAAACAAACATTAAACAGCGTTGCGTATTATGACAAAAAATGTCCAAAACTTTGGCCTGATTCAGCTTTTTTGCATATTCATTATGTAAGGCTACGAATGCAAATGAGGCTCTCTGCTGAAGTTTGTAGAAAGCGGAAATATATATTACTTTGATGCAGGCCGGTGCCAAAAAAAATCATTATTCATCCTTTGAGAAGGCTCTCCAATCACATCATGGCTCACGATAAATGGCAAAACCTTAAGTACCGATGATGGATGTCGGTCATCATTCAGTTTTTGGGTGACAATGCAGGACAAAGAATGCATAAAATACTAAAATTCTCTTATGCGTCTACTACTCATTTTCTACATAGTTTTGACAGTTAATCATGTCCGATTCCTAAGAAACTTGGTCATGATGTATTACAGTGCTGAAGTTTTTCATTATTATTGTGGGATTTTGCAACAGACAGCAAAATGGTATTATGAAAAATAACCATTTATTAGTAGGGTATAGATTTTGTGCTGTTAGAGCAAGACTTAACAATATTTTATTGTGTTTCTTTTTGATTGAACCAGCATGGTATTGTTTGAAATAGAATACATATACACTACCGGTCAAAAGTTTTAGATCGGTAAGATTTTTTATGTTTTTAAAAGAAGTCTCTTCTGCTCACCAAGCTGCAATTATTTGATAAAAAATGCAACAAAAAAAACAGTAATATTGTGAAATATCATTACAATTTAAATCAGTGGTTTTCTATGTGAATATATAGTGAAGCGTAATTTATTCCTGTGATCAAAGCTGAATTTACAGCATCATTACTCCAGTCTTCAGTGTCACATGATCCTACAGAAATTATTATAATATGATGCTCAAGAAACATTTATGATTATTATCCATGTTAAATACAGTCAATCTGGAAACATTCTGTAATTTTCATGTAAAGCAGGAGTGTGTGAGAGTACATCAGCATCCCTGCACACCTTCATCTACTGTATGCGCTCTACGGCACTAATGCAGACACATCTGGTATCCAGCACTTCCCGTTTGTTGCCCGCCTGCCCATCTGTCTACACTTTTTCTAATCCATGCTTGAGTGGACACTGTGTTTCTTGTCGGAGAAACAGGGGTAAAGAACGGCAAACTACACAAACAGTTTGCTCGTTCCCTCAACAAGGTGAGTAATGTTAAAGCTGAGGCCTGAGGCGGGAGCTCTGGTGAGTCAGCTGTTGATGTGGAAAGGACATTTCTCCCATGTTTCTGCTTGATGTTCGCATTAGTCAGCCACCACTGAACAACACACCACTTTCTGTCAGGTCTTGATTAAATGATTGGTGTTTTTGAGGAACTTAAGGTTAAAGGTCTATGAATGGCCTGATAAACTCACTCTACTGTACTTTAGATCTCTCCTCTAAAATGCTATATTTATAATTCTTGCACAACAACACTGGGATGATGTTACTCAAAGATTATTTGATGTTTGTTCAAAACGCAAACCCACAAACCCATCAAACTACTGCAATAATTCATCCGCACCACTTAAAGTCCCCCTGAAGTCAATAATTTTTTCCTTAAAAAAAAAAAACATTACCTTAAAATACCTTCAATGTAACTACACCCTTGCCTCGTTTAATATACGCAGTTCTATGAATATATGCAAATGAGCCCCGCCTTCACTCACTCAGTCACACCAGCTAAGAGATCCACTTGTTGACGATCACACGTTTCACCTGATTGGTTACCAGGTAGTTTGACGTAAACGATTTCAAACCGTGTTTTTGAGTCTTTGTTTCACTGCAGTTTTAAGGAGAACATACTCAGCAATGGTGTTGAATTTGCATGTGTTTGTCTTAAAGCTTATCAAAAACAACATTAAAAGCTGGATTTTCACCACAGGTTATATACAGACTCCATCACAATGTGTTGAAGATAACTGATTGTAAATAAGAGATTGACTTATACTACTTTTTTGACACATTAACTAAATGATCATTAGACTACAACAATAAAAACATAATCAAACATTAATAATAATAGCTAAATGACAGCTAGGTTACAACAATTAAAAAATAACCTGCATTATATTATTTATTGTTGTTATTTTTTATTATTAATGATAATAAAAATCTTTCTTGCGATCTAAATTTTTACAAATGTGCTTTCATCTTTGAGTTGGGCTTTGTCTCAATGTTAAGACACATTTATCACGTCAAAATGAATGGCTATTATTATTTTAAACATTTTGTAAATATCCAAACAACATGTTAAAAAAATGATTTTACCTGTGATTATTAGAGTTGGGTGATTTTCTCTAAAACCCTTGAGTCAATGGTGTCAATAAACCGATATTCAATCACCAGCAGCCGATTAAAGATGAAAAGTGTAGATATCTGGAAAAAAAAATAATACAAATATTAATAAATCTCTAATGTATATTTTATACTATCTGTGAAAATATGAGATAACTTCACCTCCTCTTTCATATAATTAAATTAACCTAATCAACATTATTGATTAGAGAGAGAGAGAGAGAGAGAGAGAGAGAGAGAGAGAGTACAGTACATACCACATTCTAGATAACACTTAACCTTGGTAAAATCATGGCAGCTTGAGGTCTCAACAGGCTTTGTTTTAGCATACAATTTATAATTTAATACTTGGTAAAAAGTTAGTCTGTTGTATGCTAAGTTTTTCTGTTCTCATATTCTGCAGGTGATATTACACAAAAATTATCCCATCGGCACGCTAATTTTTTTCATTGCAAACATTCTAGAGCAAAACAAAAATTTCCATTTCTATTGTGCACAGCTCATCAATCATCAAGCCGCTTTAACTGTCATCATTAAATCATCTGTCTTAAGTTTAATGAACTATATAGAGGCTGTTTTACACCCTGTGGGACATCATTATAATCTTCCTTGGTGAAAAGTTTATTAATATTCAAATAGGCTTTTCATCAACAAGAGCTGCTGGGTTTTTATCCCATGAATTAGTGAGAATAAGAGCGAACTGTGCATGTGTGGTGCTGAAGATGAGATGTAGTGTTCTTTATGCAACTCTGATGAATAGATATTTACTGAATCTCTTTGGCTGTCAGTATTTGTAATGCAAATTCACATTGAGCTTTATGCTGTTGACTTTTGGCAAAGGTCTTGCAGTTTTATTAATGATGCAGTCATGCTGTTTCTTTCAGAAGACTGAATTACATGTTTGCAATAACTCAATGGTCTATTGTTGATAGGGAGAATATGAATATTAGTTATTTTGTCTGGGTTTTCTCTGAGCATGACTCAACACTGACATCTACTGTAATACAGCCAGATTTGCAGTGTCATCAAATGATAGTTCACCCCCAAAAAAGTTGTTCCAAACCTGTATGAATTTCTTTATTCTAGAAGATATTTTGAAGAATAGTGTGGGGAATAATACTATGGAAGACAACAGAGTGCCAAAGTTATGATGTCACTTTGTAGGCCAAAACGCAGAAGTGAGTTAGCATTTTAGCACTACCTGTTCCCTCGTCCTAAAGTCTGTGGGTTTTTTCGAATGGGTTTTTGCTAAATCGCCTGAAGTAAGGTCTGTGGTTAACAAAGCCTCTAAATATTTTCATGTTTTGATCTGACATAAAACACACCAGTTTTACAACCTGCTTGTGGTTTTTCAAACTTTATTGTGTCTGCTTGTGGTTTTTTAAACTTTATATAGGCTTCAAAATGTATACATTTTAGATTAACTTGTAAAGATTATCTTGATAGACAAAATGTGTGAGGGTCACAACTCTTTGTTGAACACAGATCTTATTTTTTGCGATTTTCCAAAAGTCAATGGGGAAAATGCATAGCTTTTCGTTTTCGATGCGCCACTAGCTTCCGAGTTGTTCTGACGTCATAACTTCGGCACTCTATGGGGCACATCAACTGTTTGGTCACCAACATTCTTCAAAATATCTTCAAAATAAAGAAAGAAATTCATACAGGTTTGGAACAATAAAAACATATGGGTGGGTAAATAATGACAGAAATTTCGTTTTTGGGTGAACTGTCCCTTTAATATAAAAAAAATGACTGAACAACCAACTGGAGAAAAAAAAATCATAACAAATAAACCACAACTACCAAACTTTTGGAAGCAACAACAAATATAAAATCATCATGTTGTTTGAAAAAAAAAATGTCAGATGAGGGCAGAATCATGACATGTCTTATTATTTTCCTCAAAATAAACATAATAAGCTTTTAACTAGGTTATTAAATTCCCTGGTCCATTTGTTGTATCAAGTCTAGACTGAAATGGCTTCACATATAAGCTTACGAAACATTGTGAGCTATATTAAATGTCAATTTCATTTAATTTACCTTTATCTTTACCGTTTGTAGTAGCATGGCGGAAGATTGTCTCTTGCAGTCTCGCATTCACAATGGTCGAACTTGTTTTCCCGCCTTTAACTGTAAATTTACTGGCGAGTTGAAAGAAGAGATGTAACGTTAACTTTGCCAAGAGAAGTTATCACTAACGATCACTAATAATCTCATTCTAATGTTTAAATCTCAAAGCTATATTTAGAAAACGTGTGTATTTTACCATCTGAGCGTGTCTAATCAAGCGTGTCTTTTCCAGAAAACTAGAATAAGAGTTGATTTCCAAAATTCCAATTTTTTTTATAAAAATATTCATTATAAAACCATAAATGAACATTCTATATAAAACACCCATACATGACTCGAAAAATAACGCACTACAATATTTCTACTGGATTTGGTATTTTCTGCACGTCTGGAATTTATTTGAAAAAAAAATATGGATTTGGTTTTATTTATTTTAATACAATTTTCTTCTAAGTATTATGGTGTAGATCTTAAGCTATTTAAAATAGCAGTTATTGCATGGATTAATATTTTAAATATATTTGTTTATCGTATTATCAAAATCAAACTTCACAAAAGGCTTTTATTTTGAAGGGGACTAAGCTGACACTGACAGCCAGAGAGTTGTACGACAGCAGCACAGCTTTTAGTGAAGGTAGTCAAATGACCCTTTTCTTTGTTGCATGTTTGTTCTGTTAAACACTAATCTTGAACGGTGCCTTTTCAGCTACAAATAGCGATTCTAAAATGATCAAATAAAGGATTTGCGTTTTCACAGCGCATATTTAAGTTTGTTTTTATCGGAAGGCAATGCTAGCTAGCAGTTCAGGCTAATTTATAGCCGTTTTGTTTTTATAGAAGTTACTTACAATATCTGTGGGGGGAAAATGTAAAATAAAATATAGTTTACTTATCTATTTTATGATACAATACATATTTTACCCCGTAAATATAAAGGTTTAACTAACCTTTTTGAAGAATCCCTAGTTCATAAGCTAGGAATGGGTTGACTTGAAAGTTGGAGAAAGTTTGCCCTGTCCATTACCGCTTAACTGTGTTTAGTATGTAGACTAGAGTTGTATCGTGAGCTGTTGTTCGTTGTATTTTTTATTCCTAGTTGGTCTGTCGATTGAAGGATGGAGGCCAGTGGCAGACCCTCCACAGCACAGATTGTGTTGCTGGCCACTAGTTCGGCTCTGACTGCTGTCTTGTACTCCATATACAAGAAGAAATCGAGCCATGTGGCTAGACTTAGGGTAAGAAAACAACCCTGGTATATTTCTTTTAAAAACACAACCACTTCAAGAAGTAGATCATACTTAAACCTGACCTGTGTGACAGGAGGCCAAGAAGATGTCCTTAAATCCAGACCTTAAAACTATCCTCAATGAAGCACCAGGAAAATGTGTTCCTTATGCAGTTATTGAAGGTATGGCTTCTGAGATTAATCCAGTGCTGCTGTTGGTCAAACCCGCTGATGTCGATACAATAATTATTGACCCACTATTATAAAGACATGCTGGAAAATAATAAGAGGACACTTGCAAAAATAGGATTAGTGGGTTTTAACGTTCTAGTGTTTTATTCATACGTCTATAGGTGTTGTGCGCTCAGTGAAGGAGACCTTGAACAGCCAGTTTGTGGACAACTGTAAAGGAGTCATCGAGAGGTTGACCCTAAAGGAGAAGAAGATGGTGTGGAATCGCACAACACATCTGTGGTACTTGTTCTGAATGTGTAAAACTGTCCATAAAAAAATATGTATAATAATTAGTTCATAATCATTATACTTTAAATAATTAATTATAACTACATATTTTTCAAATATTTAGGTAATAAATATTTGTTTGAATATTAAAATGTTTATAGTAATATTTAGTTTTTCATAATTACACTAATTCAATTGTACATATTTGTTTACATACGTATTTATGCCAATATTTAGATTATAATTTAAATATGTATTGTTTTAACATTAAAAATGTATAATAAAATTTATAAAAATTTTTCAATAATTATAATATATCATAATTTATTTAAATCTCTAAATTTACCTCAATATTTTTTACATAATTAGATAATACTTTAAATATTTATTTATTGTTTTAATATAACAATATTTAGAATCTGTAATTGTAATAGTTTTTTATATTTTAAACATTAAAAATATTTAACTTCAATATATATTAATATATATATATTTATAATTTATATTTATTCAAATTTTGATTTTATATTTTAAAATGATATTTTAATTCACTTTGCCAATGCATCTTTCTTTTAGGAATGATTGTGAAAAGCTCATCCACCAACGCACCAACACCGTGCCCTTTGACCTGGCCCCGCATGATGACACCATTCCCACAATGGTGCGAGTGGTCCGTCCACTCGATGCAGCTGAACTGGATCTGGAGACCACCTATGAGAACTTCCACCCATCCCAGCAGTCTCTGACCAACGTCATCGGTCACTTCATCAGCGGCGAGCGGCCGCAGGGCATCCAGGAGACGGAAGAAATGCTCCGTCTGGGTGCCAGCATGACTGGCGTAGGGGAGCTGGTGCTGGACAACAACCTGGTTCGTCTTCAACCCCCTAAGCAGGGCCTGCGGTACTTCCTCAGCCGCCTGGACTACGACACGCTCCTGAGTAAGCAAGAGGGTTACCTGCGGCTCTGGAGGGTCTTGACGGTGCTGTTTGGCTTGACTGCCTGCGCCACGCTATTCTACCTGCTGTGGCGACAGTACGTGCTGCGTAAGGAGCGGAGGAAAGAGCGCAGCGTGCTGGACGAGTACAGAAAGTGGCAGAGCAGACGTTTAAAGGAGCTCGACGTGGCGGAGGGTGATGTGTCTCCCACTGCATGCACGATATGCCTGAGCCACGAGCGCTCCTGCGTGTTTCTAGAGTGCGGTCACGTGTGTACCTGTGAGGAATGCTATAGGGCCCTCCCCGAACCGAAGAAGTGCCCCATATGCAGGGCTAGAATAGATAGGATTGTCCCTCTGTATAACAGCTAGAGGCCTTATTATGAATATGAATTACGCTCTTTAAAATGAGTGACTTTGAGAGCAGGTTTTTGCCATGTAATATCAGCCATAATGCAAACACTCTGCATTCAAAAATATTCTTCCAGTTTGAGTTTGTATTCTGTTGATTGATCGCACTGTTGGCAATTGTAATCATCACTTGTGCCTGTGTGAACTGAAATTCTGTTGTATTTCAACCAAAATCAAAACATAAGAACATTTATAAAGACGGTTTCTTCTATTAAAAAAAGAGAGAAATGAATAAAAGTGCTTATTTTAGGACCATTAGGATTTTTTGCATTGTGAATATTTTTTGGTTCACATTGATTTCGTACTACTGTAATGTAGTATTTTGATCACGGTAAAAACTACTATAATACAGATTTTATTGTGTATTAAAAAAGGTAAACGCAATACATTGGATTTCTTTTTATATATACTTAAACAGTTATGCTTTTCAAGTATACAAGGTTTGTGCTTAGTCGTCATGAAAATGTTACAGCACCTAATGGTCCTAAAAACAAGATTCATTTTCTTTATGTGAAAGCCAGTTTTGTGGTGTCCTATCATTATTTTTACTTTTCATTTGAATTGTTTTTATTTGTTGTTGTTTTTTTGTAAGAAGGGCGGTGGGAGATGTAAAGCTTTAATCTGATTTATTAAATGGGAATTTGTTGAACCTAATCAGTTTGTTCTTCCTTTGTTCTTCAGTATTAGCTATGACTACTTTACCATGAATATTATAGTGATTTAAAGAGCAAATAAAGTTTCTGTAGTGGATAAGTCTGTGTGATCTGAATTTGCAAATTGTTGATGTTTACTTCAACGTACCAACAGTATGTGCAAGAGTGACATTACTTTATACAACAGGAGATAAATATATACTAGTTTAACTTTAGATGGCCACAATGAAGTACTAAAAGTCTTAACAATAGTCTGTAAAGCCAAACAGAATTAAAACAATAACTATTTATGTATTATTATATACTGTTTCCTAATTGAACTGGAAAGGGCAAGATGAAGGTGGAAGCTTATTAAACAGTTTTTTTTTTTAATTTTCAAACAGATTTTTAACCACTGAGCTACATTGGCAAAAACAAATGGAAAGGGGAGGAGCAGTAGCTTGCAGGTAATATTTATCTGACTGGCATCTGATCTACTGTAACTGTAATTTGCATCCTTTTGTATATCAGTTTTTCCAAAGATTTCCAGCCTAAACACATTCTGCCATCATCCTGCTTTTAAATTATATATAGTTATTGATTATGGTGGATGAGAGGGAGCACATCTGAGGTGTTACCTTATGAAGAAAACAGTCATTTTGTCCAGCACAGGGAGCAGATGAGCCTCACCAGATGCCGTCTCAACAACTTCTGCACGTTTCCGTTAAATTTGTACTTGTACAGTTTCCGTGTGTTTTGCAGAAATTCAAGGAAACCTTGAACAGCCTTTTTGTCGACAACTGCAACAGGGTCCTGAAAGAGAAGAGGGTGCTGAATCACCCAACAGATGTCTGGTAAATATTATAAATTTGAATATGGCCATTAATATTAAAATGATTTATTTTACAGTACGTGTACTTACTTAAGGACGTACTGGATAATATAAGGTAACTACATGGGTTAGGTTAAGGGGATGGTTCAGGATTAGTACCTAGTTATTATTACCCAGTTAATGCAATTACTGTAATAAGTACATAGTATGGACTTTAAAATAAAGTACTACCTAATTATAAATTAAAATAATCATTAATATTATTTATGAGTAGCCTGTAATTGTACCTGGAAGGGTATGGATTCTGTTAAACTTATAAGTGTGTGTGTGTGTGTTTTGGCAACAGATTTGCACACTCAAACTGTTCATACCGAGCGTGATGCAAATTGTTGAGATTGTTTGCATATGCTATGGAAGCTTGTTTCCACCACACAATAAAAATGTAAAAAGGTAATTGCGACTTTTTATCTCACAATTCTGACTCTTTTTTCAGAATTGCGTGACAAACTCAAACAATTATAAAGTCAGAATTGAGTGATATATAGTCGCAAATGCATGCTATAAAGTTGTGAGATAAAAATTCAGAATCGTGAGATAAAGTAGTTGTTTTCTGCAGAATAACAAAAAGATAATTCACCTATTAAAAAATGTAATAACTTTTTCACTCCGTGTGATAAATCTATAGGATCCACAGTTAAGATTTTTGTCACCCACCAATCACATTAAAAGGAAGTCAATGACTTCCTTTATGCAAAACATAAACCATCACTAAAATGTAACAGTTATGTATCTCTCTCATGTAATGGAAAAATGTAAGCAAATATGAATGATATAAGAAGATTTGAAAATATAATGATAATAGCACTGGTTTGAAAATACTAGTAGTGACACTATTGTTCAAAAGATTTTTTTTTTGGAAAGAAATTAATTAATTATCTTTAAAATGAAATGCCTTTTTGTGTAGAAGAATTAATATGCAGTACCATTCAAAAGTTAGAGATTTAATGAAATTAATATTCAGAAAGCATGCATTGATCAAAAGTGACAATAGAGACATTTGTACTAATGTTACAAAATATTTCTGTTTCAAATAAATGCTGTTCTTTTGAATCTTCTAAGAATCTTGAAAAAAATGTATCATGGTTTCCACAAAAATATGAATCAGCACCACTGTTTTCAAGCAGCAAATCATCATATTAGAGTCAGTTCTGAAGGATCATGTGACACTGAAGACTGGAGTAATGAAGCTGAAAATTCACAGGAATAAATCACATTTTAAAATAAACTCAAATAAAAAACAGTTACTATACATAGTAATAATAATATTTCATAATATCACTTTTTTTACTATATATTTCTATTTTTTATCAAATAAATGCAGCTTTTGAGAGAATAAGAGACTTAAAAACCTTTAATATGTTAATATGGTTCAAGGTTACCCCTTTACCTGTTCTAAATTCACTATAAACCTTGCTTTTATAAAACGGTTAGTCTATAAAAATGCTTGTTTTCACTGTTTGTAATTTACAACGGCTTCAAATGAGGCTCGACCAATCAGAATCGAGGACCGGAACAATCCGTTTTAGAATCACATTTTTAAAATGTTCCAACATTTTGCTCTGCTTCCCTGTGTGATGCTGCTATGACTTTTGACAGCTTGAACATCTGAAAAATATAATTTATCAAAATTATGCTTTTTGACAGCTTGACTGGTGTTGCGTGCAAGATGATGCAAGACAGCCACCTGGTTTGTGTCCCACCTCTGGAGCTCCAGCACGTCTTCAGTCTTCTGAAGAAGCAGGAGAGAGACCTGTGGCTCTGCAGGGTCTTGAAGGTGATGCTTGGCCTGACCGCATGCGCCATCTTCCTCTACATGCTGAGCGGGAAACCGAGGAGAAGAGTTAGGAGGTTCAGACATATACAGGAGCTCTTTAGAATAATACAATCTGTCAGAGAAAATATAAATGAAGATATGAATTAGATTTTAGATGCTCCTGGTTTAAAAGGGTTCCTTTCATCTGAAATATTATATCTATATCACAATTAAGAAAAGCTGTATTGGTTATGCATATTTTACAAACAATATTATAAAAATGTAAACAATTAAAGAACATGTAGATTTCTTTATTTTTGCATTAAGCAGAGTGTTATTGTGTCCGACCAGTAGATGGAGATACCTGTCTAGCTTTACCATCACAATTCAATCTAGGAGGCTCACTGTGGGTTGTCTAGTACTGAGATCAGCCAATTGTGTAAATTACATAATTATGATACTAACAGAGCCAACAACATAATGCATTTAAACCATTAAAACCACCAGAAATATTCAAATGCTTGAGTATTGAATACAGATTAAATCACATAAACCACTACTAAACCAATCATATACTGTTTGTTAAGATTGTATATTGTTATACGAGAATAAAAAGTAGTCAAATGATATGCCTGTTGAATAACAAATGATATTATGTTGTTGTAGATGTTCTTAAAGGGATAGTTCAACCAAAAATTAAATTCCTGTCATCCATTGCTCAACCTCATGTTGTTCCAAATTTACTAGAATTTCATTCATCTTTGGCATGCAAATGAAGATATTTTTGATGAAATATTAGAGCTTTCGGTGCCTTTATTGACAGCCTATGCAACTACTGTAGCACTTTGACGCTTCAAAAGTTCATCCTTAGTTCAGTTGAGTTCGGGTCTGTTGAGCTTCTATTTATGTTAATGTTCATTACTGTGCACTGCCCCTATAAATAAATACATTTGCAAAATTATTTAGGCAGGGAAGCTTCATACAACGAGATGAAACAGCATGAATCAACCCTATATGTATTTCACCACTAAGCCACAGTATCCATGTGCAAAGACAAGAATGAGACAATCTTCTGGTTGGCAGTGATGTTCAACCCTAGTGGGATTCAAACCCACATCCTTTGGGACACTGCCCACTACACCACAGTACCCAAATGGTGCAGCCAGGCAGCAGTGCGAGAGGGGGGGTGGACGAGCTTCTGCGCGTGCCGTGCAGTCTGAGTGACGTCTCTCTGCTCTCTGAGGATCCGTGTGTTGTTGCATCGCTCCTGTTTTGCATCTACATCAGTTTTTCCGAGTGACTTCAGCTCATCGCCTGTAAATAAAGACAGGAAAAGTGACTCCCATTGTGTGACGGTAAACTAAAGCTGTATCGTGTGACAGTTGAGATTCTCGCGCGCTGTTTGCTTGCAGAGCCCTCGCTCGTCGGTTACCGAGTGTCTTATATCCTGATCGATTATTGTGAACGGAATCATGTCAGAAGTGCTGCCTTACGACGAGAACATCTCTCCGTACGGTGATGATGGAGATGAAGAGCAGATATCCCTCACCTGTCGCCTGCAGAACAACAACAGTAACTTCTTCAGTTCTGCGCAGAACAAACGAGCTCCGAAACTCGGACAGATCGGACGCAGTAAGAGAGGTGAGAAAACGATTTATTTTTTTTACGTTGTCGTTGTGTCGTAGGTGAAATAAAAATAAGTGCGGATTATAGTCTTAAAGTATATATTAATGTTCTGATATCCAAAAAAAACTACATATGCGTCGAAGTAATGCCTCGTTTCCATTACCGATGATTTAAATATGCTAATTTGTGGCATCACGTGATGATGTCAGCGTGATGCGTTTGCATTTACTTGTCTGCATGTTCATAATGAGATTTCATCTTGAGTCATATTGATTTTGCTGTTTGATGATTGCTAATTCATTTAATAGAAACTTTTTTCATTCTTACATATAAAAGCATATTATTACAGAGATATAGTCTGGATCACAGCTATCAAGCTCCAAAACACACACACACACACACACACACACACACACACACAAAACTGTTCCGGACAACAGCTATCAAAAAGATACCAAATAAGATATAAAATACATATATTGTGTATTTTATGCTCTTTTTAAAGCTTAAAAGCTCTGTTCCAGATGATTCTTCAATAAATACTCATATGATAGCTTTGTGAAAGGGACTGAAATGTAAGTCATTATTCACTGATATTATTCTTGAAAATCCCAGACTTCAGAAAAAGAGAATTAAAGAAATGGCGGGCCAACATTTGGTTTGTTTGTTTGGTTTTGGGCTTGACAGCAGCATGAACATTTTGCAGATTTTATTTTTCTTTATTTGAATTCATTTCTATTTTAAGCCACAGAAAAAAATAAGATTTTTTTTTTTTTTCAAAATTGTTAAATCACCATTTAACTTTTTGCAGTTCAATGAGTCCAGGAGTGTGACAATTTTTATTGTATTTTTTTAATGTGCATTTATCCGGTATTATCAGGTCATCCAAAACGGCATGCATAATTACTATACCAGAACTAGATTTTTTTTTTTTTTTTGTCAATAGTTTAAAAGGAATTTTATCACGTCATTCTATTGTATATTTATTTACATTATTCATTTTTTTCCCCTGCAGTCTGCATAACCTGACTGTCCTGTCAATAAAACTAAAGTCTTGTCATTTCTCCAAGGGCAGCATATTTGACCCCGTGTCCCTCATGTGATTTCTCTTTCAGTTGTCATAGAAGATGACAGAATTGATGAAGTTCTGAACAACACAGCAGAGAAGTCATCGGCGGGAGTGTAACCCTCACGGACGACGTTAAAGCGGCAGGAAATCGTGGGTTACGTGCATTCTGCATCAAAAGCACTTTGCAGTCCCTCTTAGTATGGGTTGAATTTCACTGTGCGGCAGCAGGCGAGGAGAGAGTCCCTGCTGCGGGCATCCGAACCGAGGAAGCGGGGCTCTGTCTGCTTTCTCTCTTTAAGGGCATGTTTCGTATCCCTTTCTTATAAAGTGATATCTTACACTGGACATGTTGTTTAAAATACATGTGGAGTTGGTCTGTAGTGGTCCAGATTCAGTTTATATTGTGAGAGGAATGCATTGATATAAATCACAAGCACAAATCTGGCAACTTTTGTTCATTATTTTTGCCGTGAGACTGGGCACTCTTCGTTTCTTTTTTGTGCACAATGAGAGTGTTTTTCACTTTAAATATCCTTATTATGATCTCTTGGATACATTTTGTCTTTTGCAGAGATGATGGACAGAGCAATTATTTTTATTTATAGGAGAAAGGAAAGACTACTTTTTTTAAAGCAATTTTTTTTTCATGTTGAATATTGTCATTTTTTTGTTGTGGTTGTGGCTGCAAACTGCCTGCTTAGCCTGAGTTCAAAAGCTTATTTTTATATCAAGGAGCTATTTCTGAGTAACAGTCGTAGCACTTTCAAACGTGGTTGTCAGCTAAATGGATTTTGATCACTTTTGTGCCAAAATTTAGCAAAAATATGCCAGTCGACTTGTGTTTTCGTTCACCCGAGTAATGTGAAGTTTTCCAGGCCTGCCTCTCATATATATTTCAGGGCTTTTCTAACGGCTTTTTTTGCATGAGAATGGCACAAATGCCTCATTCTGTGGCAGTGAATTACTAATATATTTGCTGTAATGTTACTTTGAATGACGAACCTCAAACTCTTGAATATCGTGTATGTTGCACTTCTCTATACTGTTAAACAGGGCTATATTTGCAACAAAATGTATGACCAATAAAATGTCATTACATAACAGAACTCTACCACCCTAACTGTACGTTATGTGAAATTTCTTCTCTTGGTTGTTTTATCAATTGCAAGGTGGCACTTTTCTAAAGCAAATGCTTTCCCATTAAAACAGGCATGTTCGGATACAACAATCAGAGTTGTTCTTGATCATAGGAGCTGTGATGAGGAATGCATTTCAGTTGTTTAACCAAATCTGCAACATGACATCATGACTTTTGCGTAAACATACACGCCAAACATGCTTGAGCTTCTGTTTACCACAACTGATGTGTGAGTTGATGAATGTTTATATGTGATTAAAATGCTAAATTCAACCTGTTCATCTTATAAAGCGATTGTGTCTCTTCAGAAGTTTTGAACTAAACCGCTCAATTCATATGGATTAGTTTTACAATCTCTATGAATTTTTGAAGCTTCAAAGTGTCGGTTGTGTTGGCCTAGCTGTCAATGGAGGGACAGGGCTCTCAGTTTTCATCCAAAAATATCTTAATTTGTTTTTAGAAGAGCAACGAAAGTGTTACGGGTTTGGAACAACATGAGGGTAAGCGATTAATGACAGAATTTTCATTTTTGGCTGAACTATCCCTTTAAGAAAATTGTTTTGTTTTTATTTTTTATAATGAATGCTTTTTCAGCTTAAATATATGCTATAAAGGAACTGATGGTAAACACACACTTTTTCTATATATATATATCATCAAGATTTAAACATTAGAATGAGATTAAAAACAAGACTTGTCTGGGCAAAGTTACATATCGTCTTTCAACTATTATCACGAACATATAAAGCAATACAACCTGGTGTGCACGGAGCAAGCGCGGCCTACAGGAATTACGTCAATATTGCAACCGGAAGTTTCTTTAGCCAAATCAATAGTCGTGATGCTAAACTTTACGCCTTTTTTAACTATTGTTCAGCAAGGAAGCATTAAACTGATCAAAACTGACTGCGATTTTTATAGTTATGAAATATTTCTATTTGAAATAAATGTTCTTTTGAACTTTCTAATAAACAATCCTAAAAAAAAAGCATCACGGTTTCCACAACAACAACAAAAATGAAGCAGAAAAAAACATTTTCAGGATTGCTAATAATGTGTCTTGAGCAGCAAATCAGAATATTCGAATGATTTCTGAAGGATTATGTCACACTGACTGGAGTAATGTATTGCTATCATATGCAGGTAGTGTTTTTTTTTTTTTTTAATTGTATTAATATTTCACTGTATTTTTGATCAAATAAATGCAGCCTTGGTGAGCTTAAGAGATTTATTTTTAAAATGTAAAAAAGAAAAAAAATATTAAAAAAATCACATTTTTGTTTTTAAACTTGCCCAAATACAGACTTCCATTGTAAATGAGTTCAGATTGAACATTCAAATGTAATGTCCAGATTATGCTGAAAGCTACCTGTCATGTAGGATGAAAGTTTGGGAATTTCCCTCCGGCTCTAGGAGTAGGACCCCCTGGATGAGCAGGTAATCAGGTGAGAGAAACTATAACATTTCCACCCAATATTGTCAAAGGAAATGAACTGCTCAAATGAGCGGTTTATATAGAAAACATGAGACTGCAGGAGAAATCACGAAGAAATCTGTGAAGAACGTAAAGTATTCCGTGTCTTTGTGTTGCTTTGAAAGGCATTTTGCTCTCTCTCTCCCACATTACTGAACTCTCTCTACAGTCAGAAGTGAGCTGAATGCATTTAGAAAGCACTGACTTTGCAAACTGAGTTCAGGTTTTGTTTACTTTCATTTTTATTTTAAACTGCAGTGCATTAGGAGCAGGAATGTGCCGTTCTTTCTCTGAACATCCTTCATAACATTTACACCACATGCCGATCTCTTTCTTTGTTGAGAAAGTTTTATTCCCACTTAAAGGAGAAAGTCAGAGATTGTGGGTCACAATCAGCAGAAAGATTTTTTTTCAACTCACACAACAAATCCATAGAAGCTTGAACAGTTTTGTAGTGGCTGTGTGCAAGTTTGCTAATTCACAAGCTCACAAACTTACCTTGCAAAGGTCATTTTAATCATTAAACCAAACTTTTTTTTTTATTGAGTAATAGGCAGTGGTTTAATTAGCGACATCATTAATAGATTTGCTATCCGGCGTATTCTCATTACCCTCCTCAACCTGCTTCCCTTAATGTTTGTACATGCGGAAAAGGTGAAAAAACATTGTCCAGTTTTCTCCCTGAATAATTTTTGATGCAGGAATGACTTGCAATGGCAACATTTTTCACACTCATAACAGAAAATCCATGCACTGCCTTAACTCACTATAGCAAAAAGGCAGCATTATCTCCTAATATGGCGTTTAAACAAAACAGTTATAAAACCAGATAAAGCTGATAATGGTACGGTAAAAATTCATTTTCAGAGAAATTGATTTTGAATGATGTAGCGTCTGGACCAATCATACACACAGAAATTATTCATTATATTTAATGAATAATCCAGCAAACTCACTATCCCAACAAAGGTCTGTGAAACTTCGCCCAAATCAAGCTAACACACTGGCAGAACTCCTAACCATGTGATAAATGTATTAGCATGCATCTAATTTTCCATCTCATGGTTTTCCTTTTATGTGGTTTGGCCCATTTCTTCATTCCTTATTCTAACTATTTTGGTCTGAAACATAGTTAACCAAAATAATGTGTAGCATGTTTGGTCTCTATAAACTCCAATCTTCGTCCCCCATTTGCTTATTTATTTTACATTTTGCTAGTATTATAAGAATCTTGAAGATTCTTTTCATAAACACCAATACAAAAATTATATTTGCTGTCATCTCCCGTTCACCGCTTTAGAAGTTTACACAACTATGACCACTTTTGCTTCTGAGAGCCCCTGAAATGTGAAAAGAGTCCATTAAAACAATGCAGTGCATCTCCCAAACCTCAAAACGAAAATTAACACATTGGAGGACAAAAAAACCAAGAAAACAAAAGTGTTATTGTGTGTTGGCATCTCATTAGAGCACAAGCAGATGATGTCTGACTGCTCAGTGGCTCTAAAGCGCGAACGGCGTGTGTGGCGGCCGGGCATCCACTACTTCATTATTTTGGCCACTCTGTAGACATAAAAGTGCTAATGGTACAGATGGCTGCCATGGCAACAGATGCGCTCAGTGTTATCTTGGGGCAGAGATGTGAGCAAAAGCCCCAATTGGTGCCTTTTCTCTATGCAAATAATTCAGCGTTGCATCAAAGCCATGTGTTTTAATTATTCTCCACTTAAGCTGACAGCCTCAGCTCTGAACGATACTGCTCTCAAGAGCCACGTGGTTCAGATGAAACCTTTTGTTGTTGCATTTTGCAAATAGCATGTCACTATTGGATAACGGACAACAGGAATGCATCTTTAAAGAAATAGTTCACCAAAAATGTAAAATCATTTACTTACCCTTTGGTTGTTCCAAACCTGTTTTAATTTCATTTATATTGTGGTATTTATATTAGTCTAGCAGGAGAAATAGGTTCTCATGTACACGCTTGGCAGTTTTTTGGGACCCTAATGGTGCCTAGTTAAGATTTAAAATTAAAATTTCCTTAAAATTAGTTCGTTTGGCGGCCATCTTGAAGTGATGTCAACGCTAGTATGGTGAAAAATACAGATTTTCATATACCCTGAACCACACAACATGCAAAGACAAACACTCTCAGAAAAAAAGGTACAAAAGCTGTCACTGGGGCTGTACCTTTTCAAAAGGTACACTTTTGTACCCAAAGGCTGCATATTGGTACCTTAGTGGTATATATTAGCACCTAAAATGGACATGTTACCACCTAAAATGTACATATTAACACCTAAAATGGACATACTACCACCTAAAAAGGACATATTAGCTCATGAAATTGAAATATTGCCACCTAAAATGTACATATTAGCAACTAAAATCTACATATTAACACTTAAAATGTACATATTTACCACCTAAAATGGACATATTAGCTCATGAAATTGACATATCCTGAAATGGACATATTAGCACCTAAAATGTACATATTAACACCTAAAATGTACTTATTAGCTCATGAAATGGACAAAAGTTTACCTTTTGAAAAGGTACAGCCCCAGTGACAACTTTTGTACCTTTTTGAATAAACCCACTTTTTCATATAATTATGACACCAGGAATCAAATGGAGCATAGGCCTACAACTCGTATGGACGTCTTTTATCGTGCTTTTTAATGTTGGCTACTTTTATTTTTATTTTGGATCTTAGCAACCCCACAGTCCTCATTCACTTTCACGAAATGAAAAATAGTGGCCATGATGTTCTTTAAATTCACCTTCTACAAAAGAGAGCACATCAAATGGGTTTAGATTAGAACAACACAAGGGTGTGTAAATTGTTAATTAACAACTTAAAACGGTCTTGCATTTTTGCTCCCTGGAGAAACTATAAAATGTATCTATTTACTTATACATCTTTCTCTTTCAAATACTAATGAAAAGGTTAAATTCTGCTTTTTTGCAAGGCATCATGCCACTAATTGCAGCAAAAGACTGATTTTCGCTTTGGGACGATGTTTATCTGAAAGTTCCAAAAATGGTTGCTATGGAAATGTGTGTCGAGAAGGGAAGTTGTCCTAGTTAGTGCGTTTGTGTTGGCAGCGATCCGTAGGAGGTATCAGAATGATGCTCCTGTCATATCATTAATTCTCCTTGATGCATTTCCAACAACCGCACAGGTCATCACACAATAACTAGAGTGCTATTGTGGTAAAAATCATTATTTTCCTATTTGCTTTGGAGAGGGTTGCACCGTTAAACACTCTCCACCCACTCTACAGATTGTTCGCTCACTTCTCTGCCTCTTTTAAAAAGGTAAAAATGTCAATGATTCGAAAGTCATGTCAGATATTTGCAAATGAGCCTGTTTGATCTAACCAGGCATTACGTGATACTGACATATCTTGAGCTGTTTGGCTGAAAATAATTGGAAAAACCATCTCAAAATTGGCATTTTCACCAATAAACATAAAAAAAACAAGATAAAACTCTGGTTTTGAGATGAGTTGATTTCTCTGGTTGCTGTAGTGCACTAAAGCCAAATTGATCACGCTGTATTACACCCTATTAGATTTCATGTGTCATTGCCTTATGGCAATAAAAACGAATGGAGACTCAAAGTGGCATCACATTTAATTGGTTTCTTGAAACACATTCACATTAGTTTCTTAACTTCTAACCACCTCCTAGAATTTTACTGAGGTAATGATGTGTCTATGATATTTTTGTGCTTGGATGTGCTTTCAAGACACCGTTTTCTACTTAAAAAACTCAAATTTTACACGTCAAT